TTGGCGCTGGATATTCGAGAAAATGATTGACTTTACCAGCAAAAGCGAGCATCACATGGTCGTCGATCATATGGATCTTTCGGATCGTTCTGTCATCTTGGAGTGCCAGGAATCGACTTCTTCTCTACACCGATCACGACGCAATCCTTTCCTCGAACACCGACCTATAAACAACTGATGATAGCAAGCAGCGCAAAGTGGAACAACCAATTCAAAAAGAATCCATGGATCTCAGCCCAAACACCCCAATATATTCCAAAGAATAGTGCAACAGCCAAGAGAAACTAAAAGCGTAAGTTCCAGTGATAGGAAGCAATTCGAATAGTCAACAGTCAATCAGATTCAAGGACGATAAAGAATCACTGAACAACTAGATTAAATATTTATGGATTCAGACAGCACAGAACAATGTGGGGAGTATGTCGGAAAGGTGAGCATTAAAAAGACTTCTTTTGCAACAATGGCCGCATTACCGCATCTCCTCCGGGCTGGTTCTCTCCTAGCTTAGGCAAAAATCCTCATCTGCGTTATGACAGTTGCTATGAAAACAAGAACTATCCGATTTAGAGGACTACGGCACAAAACTGGGAATGCCTTACCACCACCTTGCCACCGGCTTCATCCCTCCAAGGCTCAGCCAAAAACCCTTAGCTCTATTACGTAGTCTCAGGTTTGCCCAAAGGGTATATGCCCCCTCCCCCTTTGGTCAATTCGCGTCCAGTATGAATTTGACTGACTGTAGTCGCTATTTCGACCCTGTTTCATTATAAACTTCATTATAAACCATGTAGTAAAGGAGGTACTTTCATCAATGCTTGGGAACGGTATGAAGTCAGCTTGTAGAAACTACTCACACTTTACTGCCCCACTCTTTAAAATTCAGTCCAATCCTGACTGAATCTTGTTCGTGTGTCAAGGTTGACTGACCCCTCACGTTATTTCGCCCATGAAAATGAGTACCACGCCCTTCTGGATCGCAACGACTTGGCGCTCGGGCCACACGCGCCGGCCCCAGATCTCGAGACAGCAAATGTGCTGAAAACTTCTCCAAAGAGGAAGCCTGGACCCAAAGCAAGACTATCACGTTTGCTTGGGGCGAAAATGCCTGGGACTGCCTTCAGCTTGTTGAGGTAAACTATTGCAAAATACGACTCCCCTCAAAATTTCTTTCTCTGGCACAACCCCCTTCCCATCCCCTACCAATCAAACTCCTAAATTTTCCCAACTTTCTACTATTACTCGAAACTTTCCAGAGACACTGGAAAAAGTAAACGCGGGAACAATATACATTTCATCAGAGAAGTATGACCCTCATCTTCGACCCAGCAGAGGAAATATCCGAGCCCCCCCTGTTCAAGGCGCGAGCCAGTAGAGAGTGTTATTAGAGCTAACTCGGGGCAACAGTATACTTCCTCATAAAGTAGAAAAATTTCCGCAGTCAACCGGGGGATATGTTCATATAAGTAAGGTCTAGCATGCAAACACACAATGCATCGAAGCTCACTGCGCGGTCGAACCTTTCTCATCGCTTCTTGGGGCTACTTCCAACCTGGAAAAGGGGCATCGCCGTGAGAAGATTCTGTGTTAATCAGCCAGCATAACCGCTCATCCTGAGACCCTGAAAAAAAATAATTCGAGTTCTTACTCTATTTCACTCGCGGAACTTGGGCCAAGAGAGCAAAACTTCTATCCATTGATCACCACCACAAACGAAACGCATCTCAAAAAAAGCATTAGCGAAAGGGAGTGAGGAACAACAGCTACATTCGAGTGATTATAAACAGCGGAGGCTAATGAGAGACGGGAAGATCTGGTCAGCACAATCGCTTCTATCAAGCGTTTGTCTCCGCTCTCGAACACACAGCCAGAAACCTAACATTCAATTACACAAGGTAAAGCAGTAAATGAGGATCACTCTAAGGTGACTCGCCCCTGCTAGCATTAACAGTACCAATAAGCTTGAACGCCTGCAGTAAGCAATAACTAGAGCTACACAAAAAAAATGGAATATGGACCCTTGCAGGTCACTGACAGAATTTTTGAAAGACTGGTATTTCTCAAACATATTACCAAAGTAGTTTCAATGGTTGCCTACAGGTAACACGAAAAACGCGAATCGAATATTCTGAAAATATCACCCCTTTTCAAAATCATCATGCTACAAACGTTATTAAAGGTGAAGATGAGTTCGATTGGAGCATCTGTCGCGCGAGCGGCCCTTCAAACGATTGGTGGTCAAGTTCAAAATCGTTCGCCTTTATTTCGAATTTGGAATGCTTTTCTATTTTTTGCAACTTTTACTTCGATATCTTTACCTCTTGTTAATTGGCTCTTTTAACTACAAAGAACTATTTTTGTGCATCACGGACTCTCTGCCAGGGCCTTTTTTCGACATATTCTTATATTTTATGTTCTGAGCGCTTCGTAATAATTTCTCCTAAGTAATTCCTTTAGCCTCAGCTATATGTACTAATTTCCGTTCATTTTAACTTAAGTCTAGGTTTAATACATTGTGGCTTTTCGTAAATAATTTCCATTTAGTAGAGAAACGACACGATAAGGATTGACCTGCAACTCTGTCCATTTATAGCGCCCTATGAGATATGTCCATTTATAGCGCCCTACTTGAGACACCTTTTCTAGCTTGCTCACAGACTATTATGCCGCCATGATAGCTAAGCAAACCGCGCAAAAGCACTCTTTTCTCCTTTGAATTGTTACTTGGGAGATTGCAAGCTTTTTGGCGCAGTTCGGCTTGGGAGGGAGGCACTTCACTTTCACTGCATCCCGGTGTCATGTTCATTGCCTTCCAAGAGTTCTAAGGTATTCGTTACATGAGTTGAAGTAGTCTTCGGAAACTTTGGCTGGTATCATTTTGTGGCTTCACAAGACTTCACTAGTCTCCACCCATTGCTCGGCATGACAGTGGGAAGGACGAACGTGCGAAATGCCGGACTGCGCCAATGTTCCTTTCCAATCCTTTTGTACCTTCGCAGTTCTTTTTCCGAAGCATTCTCATTCTCGGTTCTTCTGTAGTGAAATACTGCCAATAACTTCATTGAAAATGAACTCTTCAGCAAGAATATTTTCCGTCATTCAATAACCGTCATTCAGTTATTTATATGAATACCTACAAGATACACCTTATTAGAGGAGCATGACTGCTCCACAGGCATCGGGTCCGAGGGCTATTTGGAAACTCAGTAAAAGTTAGTGGGAAAGTCCACAAATAGCTAATCAATGCTCTGAGTACTTGAAGGCAGGAGCATAGAGAAGGGAGAGCGAAAGAAAAAAAGTAGGAAGCAAAAAGAAATAGGAGTGAAGCTTTGACAGTTATCTGAGAAGCTATTTACATCGATGATAAGTCAACAAAAATGAGGCTAGCCTTTGAGATTCGGAACAGAATTTTAAAGCGAAAGCATCCAAAAAAATCCACTGCTGGGTGTTTCATAAAAGGAATACGGAAGAGTAGCCATAAAATAGAACAGATGGATCACTGCAGTTCCTATCCTCCAAAACCATACATAGTATATCCTCGACGTTTGAGAGCGTAAACGACGTCCATGGCTGTGACGGTCTTTGCTCTTGGCGTGCTCACAGTATGTGACGGCATCACGGATCACGTTCTCAAGGAACACCTTCAGAACTCCACGAGTTTCCTCGTAGATCAGACCTGAGATACGCTTCACACCACCACGACGAGCAAGTCGACGAATGGCTGGCTTGGTGATGCCTTGTATGTTATCTTTTATTACCATGCGATGACGTGGTGGCCTTCTGGGCATCGCTGAAATTAAAAAAAAATCGAAGCGAAATAAAAATCGTCGATATCAAGAAATGGCTGGAAAAGCCAAGAAATGGCAGTTACTGTTTCATCTTGAAACCAGTAGTAGTAATACCAATATCTGTCAACATAATGGACTCATTTTTGATGCTGGGAAAGGATTAATGTCCGATATGTTGCCAACGATGTTGAACGGTAGTGGGCGATAACGTAGTTGGAGATGCCAATCGGCCCCACTGTCTTTTCAGCTAACCAAGGCTCAGAATGAGAAAATTAGAGTGCATAAAGGATATGGTCTTCACCGCAGGCTGATCCCTTTTAAGGCGCACCACACATTCTACTTCCATTCAGGATCGTGGGTGGCTTGCTGGATGAGACGTGGCCTATGCAATGACTTGGGGGATCAGCTGGACTTGATATCCTTCCAAACGAATCTGGTACCAATTTACCGTCCCCGGAGGTTAGAAGCCTTGGCTGCCTTGGGCGAGGGCTAATCCACTATTTGATACCAGGACCGTGCGCGTGGTAAGCGTACCACTTGCCTCTACACCACCCCCGCCTCAATTGGACCGCTCATGACCAAAATCCGTGAGCAGTACTCGCAGACGCAGTCTTTATTAGGTCTAAGTATTGGTTCGAGGACTGGACGCTACGTTAACAGCTACGTTCAGTCTGCTACAAGGAAGAAATGAAATAATCAGATGTTCGGGAAAAAATTTAGGCCGTCGAATTTCGTTGTGATAGAAGATTTCACCACTATGGCTGCCAGTTTGTTCATTGATGCTGCGCTATTTTCGCACAACAATCTAGGCTTATTTCACCATCCAAGTAGTCGTGGTTGGACCCTCAGCACGCGGTCTCAGGATTATTTATTTATTCGGTTGACGTGACAGGCACAATCAACAAATAGAACACAACACAACTAAATAACTGAGAAAACCGGTATACAACTGAAAAATGCTGCCAACGCTTGTCAACTGCGTAACCTCCCTCCTACCTGCTTCCTCCTTTTCCTCTCTTCCTTCTATCTTCTCTCCTCCCTTGTCTTCTCCCTTAAATTGTTGAGCCACTAGATGCCATGAGAAAATATATCTGGACCCTCGCCAAATTGCCTTAATTTCTTGGACTCTTGGATTATCTATCTTTCTCACTCGTTTTTTATCTCTCATTTCGATGTCGTTCGGTTGTTTTTAGATGTATTTGGCGAGTAATAATGATAAACCAGTTGAAGGCACATTCTGCGCCATTTGATACCTGCAAAAAAAGAGCAGGAGAACCCGTCGAAAGCGCCACGGCTAGAGGCTCTGTTGGTATTCGGTGCTAAGCAAGCATTTACTGAGTACAGAGCAGCGTTATTCAACGAAGAGGTCCGAAGACGTGAGCTTTTATTTTGGTATGTGCGAGGTTTCTAGCCATCGCAACCTTCTGGAGCCCTTGTCATTTTCCTTCAAGAGGCGAAATTGCCGCACCCTAACCTTGTGCTGTCCTGCGCTGTCTATGAATGGCAAGGATCCCATCCCTCCGATACTAGCGGAATGTGTCTTCAAAATTGCCTGTACCAGTCACTGAGGCCGAAATCGGAGTAAAAACGTGTCTACCTTAACCTGTACGTTACAGATGCCTTATGCGAATCAACCTGTGATCAATATCCTTGAACTTAGCGATGAGTTAGTTCGCTTTTCTTTGGAGGATACCGATTTGAGTGTTGCGAATTCACTACGACGGGTCTTCATAGCTGAGGTGAGAGACCTACCTTCATTCTTTCAATGAGCATATGGTACGGTAGTTCTGAGAGGTCCTTCTTGGGTAAGGTCTTACCGTAGTTTTCTGTTTAGGTTCCAACAATAGCCATCGATTGGGTCCAGATTGAGTCGAATACCAGCGTACTTCACGACGAGTTTATTGCACATCGAATGGGTTTGATCCCGATGGTTTCTGACAATGTGGTTGATGAGATGCAGTACACGAGGGTATGTTTATTTTACTCTCACTTGGCTGAGGAAGGCATGAGGTGCCATGCTGCGACGGAACGGTGATCGTCTGCGCCGCTCACCGTAGTGGTGGTTATTGCGTTCCTCCTGGCGCAGCCTTAAAGTAGTGCAGACGACCACAGCCGCCTTCCATCCCCCCCCCCAACCTGCCCCTTCCTCCTTTTCCCACCTCGAACTTCGTTAGCGCCAGTTTATACCCTGCTACAGAGCTATAATGTCTGTCACAGAAAATTGAGAGAAGGAGGTGCCGTAGTAACAAGTGGCATGCTTGCAACGCACGCCGTCGGGGAGTCAAACCCAGGATCGGCTCCCGCCTGGGCCAACTAAGCCTTCTTCCTTCCGAGGACCGTGAACTCTTACTCTCCTCATCATTACGGACTGTCGGGGCGGGTCAGTGCGGCTGCGTTTTCCGCGGTGCCAAAGTCTTTCTGCACCAGTTGTTGAAGCGAGCAAATGACATGACAGCATTATATCCTTTCTACCACTTTTTGTCGCATACGCGTTTCAACGAAAAGGCTGAGAACGGCTTCAAACAGTGTGCGCACTCCTACTGGCTGATACGCCCCGACAGTCCGTAATGATGAGGAGAGTACCATATTTATCTAGGAGGATAAGAGCACTGACTTGTACGTCGGCTGGCCCCTGCATTTCACAGTTAGGCCACATCGCATTTGTTAAGCCCCTACGATTGTGACGATTGGGATGTAGAATGCGTACCGAATCCCAAAAGGGATTGGTTAACCGCGGGACTTCACCCTTTACCCTTATCGCAGAAAGTCACCCTATCCTTTACCTTGTGACAGAGAGTTACCCCTGATTTATGAGTTTCACAGATCATGAGGATTCTGTTCAGGAGTGTCAGTGCACAGAATTCTGTGATGCCTGCTCAGTGCTCTTCGAACTCAATGTCAAGTGTAAGGAAGAGGCCACTCGATCGGTAACGACAGCTGATCTTGTCTGTAAGACGGAGAAGTACAGTAGCTCGGTAAGTTCTTCTGTTCTATTCACGGGCGCCTAGGCTAAAGTCGAGGGGTTTCTCGAGTGAAGGCATGCTGCTTTTTTGCTGAAAAGCTTATTGAAGGGAAGGGTCTTTTAAACTTCAGTGAGGGAAATCTCAACCTCTTTTTTCCTCCGGTTTCAGTAACATTATGGGGATTTTCGGGAACTGGAACTTAATTTTCACACTCACTTCAGTTGTGAAATTCAGCACTATTTACCCTTTACTGCCCCAACCATCCAGAATTGAGCCAGTTTCTGACCGACTTTTTTCTCCGTGGACAGATTTGGCTCAAATGTTGTCTCCTGGGGTATTTTGACCTCCTGAATACGAATATGACATTCGCTTAGCCCGAAACTTCCTGGCGCCCGCGCCACAGGCGCCGGTGATCTGGGGTATTTTGGCGCCAGCGCCTGTAGCGCGGGCGCCAGGAGGTTCAGGCCGAGCGGATGTGATATTCGTGTTGAAAGGTCAGACTACCCTCTCAGAACAAGTTTTCAGCGAATTCGGTGATTTAAGGTATTTTGGCGCCGCGCCTGTGGCGCGGGCGCTAGGAAGTTTCGGGCTAAGCGGATGTCATATTCGTATTCAGGAGGTCAGAATACTCCAGGAGA